CATAAATCACAAAAATAATAATGAAAATTGAATCTCTTAATGAAAAAGCAAGGAGTCTTATTAAATATAACAATGACTACTTGTTCTAATATATTTGTTTGCAATATATACAACTTAAATAACTTTTATAGTATATTATTAATTTTAAATTATATATTTAATAATGCAATATCTATGTAAATATTACATATATTATTTTCTGATATTAATTGCAAACATATTATATATGTACATATTATTTATATTTTTAATTTGTATTAATATACCGTTTAACATGTAATTTTTTTATGTATTTTTTTACAAATTAAAATAAAAATAATTTTAAATAAGATAGAAAAATTAAAATTTAAAATAAGATATGAATTTATTAAAATTTATAAGTATAAAATATATTTAATATGAATACTTTTTAATAAAAATAAATAAAAATCGAGTCATGCGGTTCAACAAGTGACCCACTGGTTCAACCTTTGACCCACTAACCCAATATCTTAACCAGTTCGATGACCGGTCCGGGTGCATGCATGACAGCCACTTATTACATTTTAGATATAATTCAACACTTCTATTTTCGATTTCATCCCATAATTAACTTAACATGCATTGCTCCATTTCCATATGATGGGTTTCCTTTCGAAAATTAAATCTTTAGTTAATTTAAAGGCAGTATAGTTCTGGTGCTAATCTTGACTTAGCAACTGCCACAAGTGGCTCAGCAAGAAGCATATCATTGTTGGACTCAGCAAGGTTGATATTGTTAAAACATTGGGTGGTGCTTCCAAGTGAAGCCACACAGCAACCTATAGCAAATATCATCACGGTCATTGTGGTGCCAAGCACACTCCAAGACAGCTACACCTTCCTGTACTAAATGAAATGAACTTCAAAATTTAGCTCTTCAAAAACTACATAGACCCATCATTCTTGAGGTGGCATTCTGGTTTGAACTTTTGGGGTTCATTCCACACTTTTGAGTTTCTTCCAAGCTCTTATCTGCTTAGCATTACATGGTTACCCTTAGAGATGAAGTAATTGTCCACCGTTGTGTCACTCATAGAGACATGAGGAGGAACAAAAGATGCATTGGAATGAAGGCGAAAAGGTTCTCTTGCAGTCTTGCACAAGACTTCACATAGTTGAGCTTAGGTATATCTGATTCTTGGATTAATCTCTCTTTCCCAATTCTTCTGCGTCTCGTTTGAGCAACTCATGTTGGTTTATCATTTCGACGAGTGCCCATTCAAAAGCATTTGATGGATTGTCCACTGTTGCAATCAGCAATGACATTTCTTTTGGTACAAGTTTTGTTTAGGGAGTACCAAAACCTTCTGTGACTAGGACCGCATAAATGATAACATGTGTTAATTTTGTCAGAACTTATATTTTTTAAGAATGTTTTAATATTTGCTATTTAACCCTCATTAATTTATAATCTTTTAAATAATAGCCCCCAACTTATTTAAATATGTTTTATCTTCTCCATCTTCTACCCGTTTCATTTTCATTTTTCCTTTTCTCTCTAGCGCATCTCTGGCTCCGATACTCTAAAACTTACTATCCCTACCAAAAGCTTCATCAAAGATCGTAACTTTCTCGTGTACCCTCCGTTCCTACTCGTTTCATTTTTATTTTTTCTCTTCTCTCTGGCACATTTCTGGCAAACACCTCTCATTCTCTCCTCCGCTGCTGGACAATCTATTCTCCCTACGAAAAGCACCATTCCATGTGAAAGATTCACCGAAACGCCACCACCCTCTGTGATTGCTGCACAAAGTTCCGTACATCATAAACCTCAACCTCTCTCACTCTCTCTTCACTTTCTCTCTCTGCAAACCAAAACCCACTTCTTATTCCCACTTAAAATGCCAAGCACCATTCCATGTGAAAGATTCACCGAAACGCCACCACCCTTTGCAATTGCTGCACAAAGTTCCGTACATCATAAACCTCAACCTCTCTCACTCTCTCTTCACTTTCTCTCTCTGCAAACCAAAACCCACTTCTTATTCTCACTTAAAATGCCAAAAGAAAAAACGTCGCGGATCTGTTCCTCTTCACATATCCTGAAACCCCATTCACAATTCCAAGTCAAAGACGCAGCCTTTTTAACTCATGCAGCGACTTGGAAACAGACAGAAGAAGCAAATGGTGCTTTCGTAGGGAGAATAAATTGTCCAGCAGCGGAGGAGAGAATGGGAGGTGCTTGCCAGAGATGCACCAAAGAGAAGAGAAAAAATGAAAATGAAACGAGTAGGGAGATGAAAAAGATAAAACATGTTTAAATAGGCATGGGGACTATTATTTAAAAGGTTATAAATTAATGAGAGTTAAATAATAAATATTAAAACATTCTTAAAAAATATAAGTTCTGACAAAATTAACACATGTTATCGTTTATGTGGTCCTAGTCACAGATAGTTTTGGTACCCTCTAAACAAAACTTACACCAAAGGAAATGCCATCAGCAATTTCTACAAGAAGTTTGATTAATTATTGATTTTCAATTTTATATTTTCAAGATGGATGAAATGGAACCACTGTTTTGGCCCTTCCCTTGTGTTTCCAATTAAAAAAGTGATACGTAAGAGAAAAACTAACAATGAGGAGAGAATGATATTTTTAACAACGTGTCACTTTTTAACGGGGAACAAGAAAGAATGTTAAAAGAGAAATGCTAATATGAGTAATTTCAATTCTCAATTCTCATTAAAAAAAAAATTATTGTGTGTGCTAGTGTTAATGAATTTTATTTTTTTTATTATTAAAGAATATTTTCTATTCAACACGAAGATTATCTTCTTCAAAGATTTAACGAATACTAAATAAATAAACATCTTTTTTTATTTAAATTTTCCACGTTTGAGAATTAGGATTCCATGTTTAACTACTTAATTAAGTAACTTTAATTTATTATCATTTATGTCGATCCAAATTGGTAAGTGTTGACATATATATAAACAAAGAGAAATGAAATATTACTATAATTTGTGCATTGATCTCT